GTTTCACTGTATAATATTTTCTATGTCCAAATAAAATACTCGAATACTCACCCTAGCTCGCATGTGCCCTCGGGGACTGGTAAATTCAGGGAAAACATACTGACATAGCATATCGTCCATTTGTTCTTTGTAGAACTTTTTCTTCAACAAAACATCTGCCAAGGTACCAACCTACAATGTATGATTCAATAAAACATTTGAAATTATGCTTGCAGAAATCATTAATCATGTCAGACGGAATAGAGCAATTAACTTACAAAAATATATTAGCCTTGGTGTGCTTGAAAGTAACAGTAGAAATAAAGACAAGGGAAAATTGCTCATTATGAGTCACTTCATATCAGAGGCAGTCAGCAACCTTGATTCACAACATTATCATAAACTACAATTACAAATGATTATGGAATACTGGAAAGGTGTACTACAAACTAGAGTACACAAATATCTGAAGTGTATTCCTTGTGATACTGAATTCTTTTGGTGTTTATGTACCATTCAAACAAATCTACTATTGCAGATATAAATTTAGTTTCCCACCAACAGCAATCATCCTCCATCAAAGCTGAACCAGAAGTAAACAAATTAGCTAGTATACCTAAAACATCAGTCACTCTGGTACCGGATTTATAAATGTAGTGAGGACTCTTTGAAGGATCCTAACAAGCTTAGGGGTAAACAATGGACCTACCTGTGGCCAAGTGCCTGGGGTGACTGACATTGTCTCCAAAGTTTAATACCACTACTTAAAACACAAAGCAACTGGAAATAATGATGGAACTGATCTAACTTTTTAACAATAACCAACATATACAAATTACTGCTGAAAAACTATTCATACTACACAGCACAATTTATTACCTTTTCCTGTGACTTATATACTATACTACTAATCTATTACTAAAGATACAAATCTAAGGTCCTGCACACAGCATTTCTGTTGGTTGTAGGGAATATTGGAACTCATCACTTTTGATGTATATTCATTCCTATTTAAAATAACATAACCACTCAAGAATGCAATTATTGTTGCATCTTCAAATAGCATTTGCATAAACAGCCAAGTTTTGATTGCTGTCTTTCCAATCTGAAATAACATAATGCATATGCATTGTCCTGTACTCTTTGACATTATTGCAACATATGACAGCCTGATTTTAAACAATGACCATGAAGGACAGAAGCAATGCAATGAGCTGAAAACACTCCTCAGATACACAGGGACATGTGAGGGCAGCTGTACTCTATGCAATATAACTTGTCTGAGATAAGAATTAAGTCTTGATATGTTTTTATTAGACATATATATTTTATATAAAGTAAACATTTTTTGCATGTAGAAGGTTTTAACAAAAATAATAAGCTTGATTTGAGCTTCATATAAAGGAGGTTTATATTAGACTGATTAAACAAAAATTAAGTTCACAGAAGTTTTAGCATAGACTCCTAAATACCACATCTGACTGAAATTCATTACTTTGGAATTATATGCGGTTAGATAGATGACTGTGTTAATTCATGTAAAGAACACAGAAATAACTGAGAGTTGCTATTTTTCTGTTTGTTACAGTTCCAAAATCTATGTATCATAAAGGAACAACAAGTCACCCATTTTTGCAGGACTTACATTTACAGACAACTACAATAATAATTACTCTCACCATATGCAAAGCACCATCCTTCTGTCTAGGATCTGCATTTGGTGATGTTAAAACCTGCATTATGAAATGCATTGTTTTCTGTAACATGTCTTTTCTTTTCTTACATGAAGAGTGGAGCAGTGTCTGTGCTGCTGTTATAGGTGATACAAAGTCTTCAAATATGTCTGTAACAGTGAACACCAAATTAGTTACAGACATAATATTACAGTATTCAAGTTGTTAATGGAATTACTACATAGAGCTGTACTATATACAGCGTCAATACAAAATTTAGATATTGTAAGGGTTATACAGAAATGTGAAGAATGACCATCATTAAAAAAACAACCTTTAAGAAATGTTAGGATAAGAATACTGTCTATAAACACTGAAGTCTACTGAAAATAATTATCAAATCTGAGTTTCCTGATATTCCAAAAGAAAAATCAGCACAATCAGTTTATTACTTCACATGATAAGTGTTAATTTTTCTTTCTGACAATCCTCTGTGAGTGTGTGTAACAATCTGATGAAAGTAGGTAATGTACATAGAAATACACAGGACATGTTCTTACCAAATTTTACTCGTATGTATTCATATGGGTCAGTGTTCCATAGTTCCTCATCAGCCTGTGAGTATGACAGAATTGGGAACAGAACATCCTGAACAATGGCAAACATATGTGGCTTCAGGAACTTCCAGGAGAAGGCATGGTTAACTCTGAAAGTAATCAAAACATAAATAAAATTACAACAACTTTAATTCAAATGACATATGGAATAGGGAAGTACTTACAGAGGTAAACCACAGTGAAATCTTCATAGTAGTTGAGAGAAATTATTAATAAGACTATCATAAAACACACTATAGTAACAAGCTGACAATTAACTCCAATTAAATTCATGTCACTGAAATAAGCATTTTCCCACAAACTTACACAACTTTCTGCTTCCAGTCTCTTCAGTTCTTCTGTCTTCCAAATATATCATATTTCTGTTAAATACCATGAAAAAACAAGTGTAGGAAAAAAACTCAGTACTACTTTCTTTCCTTTAAAGGTTTAAGCAACCCGCTCAATTGACATCATCTCTGAGATGTGGATGCCTGGCCCATCCACACAGCTAACAAGTCTCGGATGGCCTTACTATTGATTTCTTTTGTAACAGTCACAGAACTGACATAAATGTTGACATAGTGAATGATAAAGATTACGCACAACGTAAAAGTGTTTTGCAAGAAGAACGTAACAGTGACATGTGAAAAGATGCCTGTTGTGTCCAACTCTGAACATGTGGTTATGATAGTGCTGATTCTTCATATAGAGAAACAAAAAATATTAAACTTACACTTAAACATATTAAATTGCATACCCTTGATTTATGTAATTGATTGTTTGTTGAATAACACGTGGTGACACGTATATTTTTCTTCTATACTGATCCAGTATTTTCAGTAAAACTTCTAAAATTCCTGCAGAAAACGTCTTCAAGTACCATTCCGCAAATTCCTTATATTCTTTGGTGACATGTCCTGGGCTACCATATCTAAAAGTGAAGATAGAATACCTTATGAATTAAATTAGTAACAAATAAAAGTAAACACATTAAAATATTTTAGCATCTAAATGAAAGCACAATGCATTGCTATACTCATGCATTCAGATCAAACATACTGTATTTTCTTTCTGAATGAAGTGAACTCTCATTACAATGGACTTCTAGCCTTTATTCACCTGTGTAAGAGAAACTGACCTTTCAAACATTCTATGGAGGATATGAAGTGCCCACTTCTTGCATTTCCACCATGGTAAATCTACTCTGTCTTCTTCATCTACCACATTGGTTTGCTCTGGAACTGGTCTGTCTGCCACAGCACGCACAATTTCCATCCACTGAGAGAATACCTCTCGAGATATCAAGTCCAATGGGAGTGAGTACTGCAATAAAGTGTTATGCAATCACAGAATTAGTACATGTAAGGACCTGTCAAAATCAACAAATCATCAGAATTAATTAAAGCAGTATGTATGGTCTTGTACAACAATGTCCATCAGACTGATTTTTATATACATATGCAAGCATGTGCAACCACACATGTGCATACGTACACAAACACACACACACACACTTTATGAGTCTGTCAAAAGTTCCTAAAGGCAGGTTTATATTCTACTGAAAATGTAATCTCAATGTTTGACCCTTTCAAAACAAAAGTATGTTCCATAAAAAATTGTAAATGTGACCTTATTGTTAGTTACATACAGTTTATGTTTATCCCATAGATCCTTATTTGGGCTAAACCAAAGAATGTGGAACATGTCATAATACAAACACAGAATTTATTTCACATATGGATATAAATAAAGCAGAAGCATTTTCAACAGAGATAAACTCATCTACGGAGTAGCGGTGAGTTAAGAGGTAATATTTTAATGCAGATGAGGTTAGTATTTGGCATATGAAGGTCATATTTACAGCTTGTGTTTAAATTGTGTACGTCTGTATTTCTTTGAAATTTGTCCAAGTTTTCCACAATAAATGACAGTAAACAGAGTAACCATAACCATATGAATTTTCATAAGCCTAGCTGTAACAGTTAGTAAGTTAAAAAACTGCATGGTAAACTGGCAACACTGTCTTGTAGGAATACCTGTGTCAATGCAAAATATATTTTGAGTATTTGTTTCTGGAGTAAAACTGATTGTTCCGACTGATCTGGAAGTAGGCGAACACACAGCTGATACATCATAGGGAAAAGAAGATTCATTGCTTCATTCAGTGGACCACGTTCCTCTGGTTTCTTGTACCTGTAAGAAAATCAAATTACATTAGAATTCAAGGTAAAGCTTCAAATTATACTTTGTCTACCAGAGAATGTAAATAATTTAATTACATATAAATTAAACCAAATAACTTACTTCTATGTATCAGTTCACTTTCTCACACATTATCATGTTTATTTACGATGATAATATAATGATATGATGTGTATCAAAAATGTTTGTACAATGCTTTGCTATTATAATAACAAACTAAAATACATCATGGGAAAACGAGTCATAAAAGGTTGTGGTCATGATTTCCAAATTCTATTGTGTGCATAAATACAGATTCCTCTGTCAGTACCATTAACACAGCATTTATGTTACATCAATGTCACAGATACCAATCTTCATGCCTTAATATGAAGATAACTATTTGAAAAAATGTGTCTTACAAACTAGCATGTCACAATCACTAACTCCATAGAACAGAGACCTTATTGAGAAGATAACAGATGTTATACTCATCATGAAATCCACCTGCTATGGAACCTAAATGTCCATTATTACAATCATAAGAGCCACTGGTCCCCATCCTAGGCAAGATGAATTGTATTTCTTTTAAAACAAATTTAACTTAATATACACGAATCCCTAATTATGGGGTAATGTTCCTATTAGATGAAATGGATAATGTATAATGTCACCAATATTTTCAGCCCACATTTTGTATGTCAATCATGAGGCAATACATGCAGAAGAATCTGATCAAACTCTAATATGTGGCTATTACAAGCAGATAACATGACTCCATTTATATAATAAAAAAAACTTTTTTTATGTACTCAAACTGCAACATAAACTGAACCATACTTAACACTAAGTCAACAACTGTTGTTACTAACAATTTTCTACTGTGACACTGATCATAATGGGTTTTTACCACATGTACTACTAAAATATAAGTATGAGGGCTTAAAAAAAATTGAGAAGTAACAAAGGCACGTATTCACATACAAGGGCAGCCAAATGCAAGTTCACAGGTAGAAGCATAAGCATTAAGTATATCAACCAACAGACAGTCTTGTACACCAGTGTGACACATTTATAAGTAAATAAAATTATCATAACACAGCCTTATAAACAATCCTTCACATGATGTGATTCCATCTTCTTATTCTGTGTAAAAACTTACTCAAAATTCTTCACTAGTTGATACAAGCACATTAGTGCTCCTGTCCAACCAGCTGCATCTGGATTCTGTAAATAAATGCTGATCTTATCTACAATTTGTGTCCAACGTCCAGGAAAGTCGTGTTTTACTATATTGCTCACGCATATACCAAGCTGAACTCTGAAAAGAAGAAGAAATTCATTTAATACAATTAGGAAAGTGAGATGCAACTGTAACAGAAGTGGTTTCACATTATGGCACATTCAATGGCAGTCTGCATGACATATTAAATCGAGTTTTTTTTTAAGGTTTGACAACGATGCTCTATGATACTTTCATGTTCATACTCCAAATTTCAATTATTGTAATATACTATAACATTCAAACTTCCCCAAAAGTAATACTTACAAAAACTTAAATAATTTAACTGTGAAGACCTAAAAATGACTTATAACCCCACTGACAAACATATTGCATCCAGAATTGCAAGTAATATATGTAACCGTTTCTTGAAAACAGTCAAACTAATTTGCTTTGCCAGTAAGGTATTAAAAAGTGTGAACAATCTGTCTTATGTACCTGTCTGATACATATTCTGCAGATGTAACAATCATCCAAAATGTCTTGTATATTGTAGGCACATCACACTCCAACTTCAAATGTAATTTAATGATAATTCATTAATGAGCCCTGTATTTCCCAAGAAAATCTAGTCATCTGACTTACAATGACATGCAGGTCCCAATGCTTTGGAAGAACCAAACATCTCGTCTTTAAGGCAGAAATGACAAGGACTGGAGGGTAGAGGTGCATTTATATTGATAATAGGATGACATCAGAATAAAAGGAGAAGGAATAAAAAAAAAAAAAAAGGAAAACAAAAACATTTTTATATTTTTATGAACACTAGGAAAATAGTCTAAATGAAGGGAAAACAGATACAGGCCTCAAGACCAACAAGGGGTGACAATACCTTCACTGGCCTGCAATAACTTTCTCTGTTCCTTTAATGCATGCATTACATGCTTCTGCAACTTCTCTGAGAAGCCACCTTTGTGGCAACAGAGTAGCTTGATGTCAATGTCTTCCCTTGTAATGTGGCCCATGTGTCTCCTGGAAGGTCTCTTACATCAATATTACTAAAATGAGTTGGTTCTGACAAAAGTGGACTGCTTTCCACCAAACTAACGTTTCTCTAGTGGACATAACTAATACGTCATGTCAACCTCCAACAAATAAATAGGACAATCTAAATTATCTACTCATTTAATGTTATCTTCTACAATACTACTATAAACTAGGGAGAAACAAAGGTAACACTAGTGACATCAGCAGATGGGTCTCTGCCTTTCTTCCTTTTAAGAAACAGAATAATGTTACTCCAAATGAAAACCTGGTTTTAAAATAATCATCTAATTTTAAGAGGTATTCCTTCTACCTGACAAGATCTGGTGCATGAACAACGGCATCTACTATGGCATCACGGATCATAGCTCGGTCTTGTTCGTGAATACTAAATGGTAAAGGCTGACCAGGTTCCACCTCTCGGTCTGCCCAATGCTGTGTTACTAGATTCTTCAGGTAGATTACACCTTGTTTTTAAACAAATAAAGAGCACATTCATTCTAAGAGGCAGTATGAAATATCCTGATGTGGTAAAGACAGAGATAGAGAACATAGCTTAAGCAGTAAATGATGTTTTATATATGCTGAAAGTTACAAACATCACCATATCTTCAGCAGTGCAATATACTGCCCACCTTTTATGAACCCATATGTTTGTAAGCTGACTTCTTACCAGTCTTATGATACATAAAGTACTCATTATACAGTGCCACAGAGGTAAATAATACAGCAATGGTCTTATAAGTTATTTCTTCCCTTCAGGCTTTCTAACCAAAATTTTGTAAGCATTTCTCACCTGCCCCCATGCACACTACATGCCCCATCCATCTCATCCTCATTGATTTGACCATCATAAATAATACCTACTTAAGAATACAAATTATAGAGGCCCTCATTATGCAAATTTCTCAAGATCAACCATCTGATGTCCAAATAATCTCCTAAGCACCCTGTTCTCAAAAACCCTAAATCTGGGTTCACCTCTTAATGTGAAAGATTAAGTCAACAACAACAGCTAAAATTACAGTTATGTATATTTCAATGTTTACATTTTTAGATAGCAAATAGGAAGATAACATATTCTGAAATGGAAGACAACACTTCCATCTACTATTAATTTCTTCATGAGCTCAGTTTTTCTGTTATTTGTAACTGCCATTCCCAAATATCTAAACTTTGCCACAAAGGATTTATTAGCTACCTACATATAATGAATCTATCCTGCAGTTTGGTGTCAACAACAAGAACATACACTTAATTTTCTCTGCATTTAATACTAGAGCAACTTCCTTACTAGCACCTAACAGAACTATGTTGTTCTTTATGTTTTCACCCAATAAACAGACCATAGACCAGATGCTGAATTGTTCCATTCAATTTTAATCCCTCCATTTCTCACATCTTCCCGATGGTATATCCTAAAGCAAAGATAAAAAATAATGCAGATTAAGCCATATGATTTGTTTCAGGCAACTCTGAACAGGAAATGTTTACCTGTTATACTTTAATATGGGTTTCATTTAAATACATTTTAATTAGCATCAGCTTCATACATATATAAAATTCAATGAGAAATGACAAACACACAAAATGAGTACAGATGCACTGTGGGTGGGAAGGTTGGCACATTGCTATTATGGCCCTGTTTTAAAATGCTGACTCACACTTACCTTAACCTCAACAAATTCATTTTAAAAGGAATTAATGTTTTCTAAATGACAATACATTGTGGCATTTCCTTCCCTGTCACCCTGTACCTTACCTACTTTCCTTCGTGTCAACCTGTTCCCAACCTTCATTATTTTCCCCATAAGAGTGCACCCTGGTGTTCTGTTGTTTTCTTAAGTTATACAGGGACCAGTGTGAGTCAATCTCTGCCTGGTGGTAGCAAGCTTCACGTCGCTTGCATTTATTTCGGACCAAACTGGGTTTTTTTTTTCTGGATTGGAAACTGGGGTAGGGAACCAACACAGGTCCTTGGTGCTGGATGGTGTTTCATCCTTTGTTTAACTGTTTGTATTTATCTATATACACATATACTTCCACATAACTCATAGTGTGTGAATAAACAATTCTGTTATAAAGGATACTGGGTACTAAATACATGTTAATGTACCTGGAAAGACTATGCCAATTGAAGAGGTATACATAAGCATTTCATCTCATCAAGAATGAATTCACAATTATATAACTTAAAGGTTAACCCCCTTATATTAAAAGTTCAACTTACCAGCCTGTCTCACAGGCATGTCAACATCAGACAGCATAACAACTTGCAACAGGGAAGGTACAAAACCAATAATTTTGTGAATCTGAAAAGTACCACATTAAAACATAACACACAGTTAAGACCACATTATTGTGAAAAAATATGATGGTAGAATAAACAAATGTGACAATTGGTCAAGTTCTGCATTTGTAAATATTATTATTCAAACAAATAATCTATATGTGAATTTTCTAATATACAGATACTGAACAAAGTGTTTACAAAACCATACAAATGTATCTTTGTACTTAATTAAGCACACCAAATGTACAGTTCCTGGCATTTTAATATCAGCATCAGATGGAAGTGACTGGCCAGCTTCACACCCCAACTGCTTCACCTCTGTGGAAAGTGGGTATCGACTGGGTGGACAGAGCTAGAATGAATGCTCTGAAGCAGACATAAATCCCTGTACCTGCCAGGAGTCAAACCATGGTCATCCATAATGCAGCCTACGTGGTCCATCATAGCTCAAAAAAATTGTGAAATTTTGGCTATTTTAAAATGTGCTACATAACTAAAAACAAGTTTCGTATATGAATTAGGCACTAAAATTTAAAATTATTCTGCAGAAGTGTGCCACAGGCTAAAAAAATTAGTGTGCAAGACACTGTGGATGAAAGTCCATTTATAATGTTGCGATTCACGGGTACTATAACCCGGGTGATTCTTCTAAAGTTAATATTGTAAAAATTGCGATGAATATTTTCACGAGTTTTGGAATTGTCTTGGGTATCATCCATACGTTCATTCATGGCGAAGGTCATTAGAGCCACATGTCTTAGTACATACCTGACTAAGTTGTTCTTCCGCTTGCTGTCGTTGATTCGGATCGATTGTGGCACGCAAAACATCTGTCAACTTTCGAGTATCCATTTTCCAAGAATTTTAGAGTTTATAAATAAAATGTGAACTAAATACTGAAAACAATTTGGATAGTTTAACCCGGCACATTCACTCCAATGACATGTTGTACAGTCACGTGATTCATCGACATAACATGGCGGGCTTTAAAATGTGGCAAAATACTGCATGACTAATCGATCAATATATCCCTTCACAAAGAAATGTAAAGCATACTTATTATTGAACACGTACATTTAGTCTACTTAATTTCACTTACTAATGGATCAACGACAATTCTTTCAATACATATTGTTAATTAATTTCATAACAGTTTGATTCCATGTAGACTACATACGCCAAGAATCATAGCCTTGTTGATGATGCCAAACTCTGTAATAAGACCTGTAGGACTTTTTATAACTATTTCGGCATGCGTAGATAAGGACTTTAATTGCTGGATATAGAAAGTATGTTTTCTGGTCGTTGTTTTAAAATGTCAAACATCGAATACAAGTGATTACAATTATGACTGTAATTTATAACGGAAGGAAATATGCATTTGCCTTTGCGATTACCACACTATTCACTCGTAGGTGTAGCTTCTGTACCACTAATGTAAGCACTGACTCAGGAAACTTTATTTTACGCAAGGTTAAGCCTTCCAGTTCTCAAATTGCTAGATATACAAACGAAGCAATATTTAAGAATAAAACGCGGTAAGTGTGCGTTAATTCGTTTCCAGTAACTTAATCTGACCACAACCTGCTCGTCGTGTGGTTTTATCTCTATTTATTTTTAGTTTATCTTGGCAAGATGTTACGTTTATTAATTTTTCAGAATTTGTCGGACGTTAGAATGGATAATATGAATTATTACACGAAATTCACTTGCAGTTTCCTGCGTGATTATGTTCTCAGGTCACATTGGAAGGCCGTTGTTGGACTAGAAGTTCATGCTCAGATTACATCAACATCCAAACTGTTTTCTGGAGCTGGGACAGAGTTTGGTGCCCCAGTGAATACAAATGTATCACTATTTGATGCTGCCATCCCTGGCACTCTTCCTGTAAGGACATTTTATTTTTGAACATTCATCCAAACAACGTTTTGAAGGACTAGTTGCCTCCATCTTCAGGCTACCAAGGAGATGGAGGCAGCATGTTCCTCAGAAACATTCATAACACCTACAAGACTACATGGGGTCAAAATCCATATGACCACAGTCAGTGTGTCCCTGTCTGTCCATCCATTATCTACTAACATCTGTGGTAGTAATATCTCTCTAATCCATTTTATGAAATTTGTAAGTTAGGAAATTTTAATGAATATAAATACAAACCTGTAAGGATATTTTAAGTGAAGCAGAAAAGAGAGCTGCTGATTTTTGAAGATATAAGTGGCTTAATACATATTTGTGCTTCCTATGATGTATCCACTTTTTTTCCCCTCCATCATATAAAGTTTCTTACAGAGGCTTTGTAGTATGTTACAAAAACAGTTTCCTCTACCTGCTGCAGCTTCACCAGCTGTTGTATCACAGTTCCCCCCTACTTGACATTGCTCCCCCTCCCATGATGAGGAAAGCAAAAAGTTTTTCACACAGAAATTAAGACTGCTTAATGTGGCAGATATTTTAAAACTTGCATATAGAATGGGAAGGCTCAGTCAGCAGAAGGACTAGCTCTTGGCACTGTGACAAGTTTGATTCCAAACAGGGTAGGAATGTTTCTTCATCACCACCCCAAACCATCTCTGCCTCCCATTGCCTCCGATCCTATCAATGTTTTTCATAGGCTAAATTTTATAATTTATAGCAGGTAATGTAATGCATTTCAGACCTGATCCCAACTGGCCTGGAGGCAGATTGATTTCAAAGCTTCTTTATACTCTCACAGTTTATGTTGTACTCATCATATCTTTATTCTGTATTTTCAAGTTTGCAAGCCATTACATGTTCCTTGTTTTGTAATTCTTAATCCCAGGTTCTTTAACTGGTGTTTACTATGAGGGCTGTTCAATAAAGACTGAGAATTATCTTTTTAAAAAATACCTTCTTCATTCTGAATCATTGCATTCCTTTTCAAAATAGGCTCCCATGAACTGAATACACTTATCTTATCATATTTGCCACTCATCAATTACATGGTTGAAGCCATTTTTGAACATCACCTTTAAAATTGCCTCCACAACTTTGGTTATAGCATCTGTGGTCTGGAAGTGCCGTCCTTGAAATTTCCTCTTTATGTGTGGAAACAAAAAATTAAAAGTCAGAAGGCACTAAATCGTCTGTAGGGAGGGTACAGGATACACTGAATTCATTTATTGTCAAAAATTGAATGACAGTGTTTGCAATATGTGGTCTGGCATTATCATGACGAAGCATCCAGTGTCTAATTAACTGTGTGTTTTCTTCTGATGTGGTTCATGATGATTTTGAGAGCTGAACAGTAGTAAGCTCCAGTGACAGTTGTTTTAGGTGGTATTATGTGGGTGTAAATCATTCCATGACAAAGAACACTGTCACCATAACTTTGAGACATGAGCATTTTTTTAAGATATTGTAAGTGCGTCATATTGTGATTTATTAAATATTAAAAATATATTAAAATTGGCCGTCAATCACAATGTAAGATAATTAAAAGATTAAAATATCGAGTACTCGATAAGGAACGTAAAATGATATTTTAATCTTTTAATTATCTTACATTGTGATTGACGGCCAATTTTAATATATTTTTAAGAGCATTTTTTTGTTGTAGTAAGCTTGAAGAGACCTCCTGGGTGCTTTGCTGGTTCCTGTCAGGATCATGCAGCTAACGCAGATTTCATCACCTGCTACAACATTTTGTAACCACTTGTTTCTCTGTTCTGCAATGCAAGATTTTCATAGCTGGAGGACTTCAGTGTGGTTTGTTTATTGCTCAGGTGTCAGAAGTCGAGGAATCCATCTCTCTCACACGAATTCAGGACATGATCAAATGATCTTTCATGATAGTGTGTACACTCCCTACAGATATTCTGAGCATATCAGACAGCTCTCTAATGGTAACTCATCAATCTTCATACACTATAACAAGTGGTGTTCACAGTTACATTGTTGATTGCAGTTGAAGGAGCTCCCAGCCCACCCAGTTTCTTGAACAACTGACCTTTGAATTCTTGGAACCATCAAAGTGCTGTTGAGGCAAAACCTCATCCCTATAAGCAGCTATTAATAAATTGTGTGCTTCACTTGCAGTTTTTTTAAGTGGTAACAATTTAAGTGAAGCATGTTGTTTTGCTTTAACATCCATTATGACAGATGTGTGACTTCGGAGACAAGACAGGTGTAGCTTGTAATCAACTAAACACGCAGCATCTTGTAACTGCAGATGCTGACTCATACCTGTCAGTGCTACCACCCACCATAAATGGACATTCCCTCAAGACTTACAAAAACTTTATAAAAAGTAATTCTCAGTCTTTATTAAACAGCCCTCCTATATTACATAATTGGGTGCCAACATTTATTCTGCAGGTGCTGAATAGAAGATGTGTTGAGGCTGGAGTATTAACAGCTTTAGCTCTTTCATGCAGAGTGAATCCTGTTTCTGTCTTTGACCGAAAACATTATTTCTACGCTGATCTTCCTGTATGTATTTATACAAAAATTATTTTCATAAGTGCAAGTAAATCATTATTTATTTAATGTTTGTATGCTTTGCTTGTGTTTCATCACTAATTGTTATGTATTCTTTGGACAAAGTACATAAAATAAATGGAGGCTGTGTCTGTCCATCTTTATGTTTCATCTGAAATAACAAATTCTGTTGAAATTTTGGTTCCTACTTTTTGTGGAGCTCAGATCAAACTTTATTGAGGTTCTCAAAATGACACATTGCACAACAAAATTTATACATGACATAAATAATAATAAATCTCATTATAATCTACAATATTTATTTTAATCATTTGTGGAAATTCCATGAAAGTCAATATCTGACTATATAGTGAACACCTTTCCAATCTTGTTTATGTTTTTTCATGGATTTTGTTGTTGTTGTTGACTTTCATTATGCTATAGTTTTCACTGTGATGTGTCTGTTTCCCTTCATTTACTTAGTGTAGTCAGTGAAGATAATAAAGTCTAGTGAAAGTAACACAGCTCTAAACCACTAGAAAAGAAAAATAGGATTTATTCTTGTAATTCAATTTATTGGTAAACAACATAAATAACAAACATCAAAATATGTTACTGAACTGAAGTGAAATCAAAATCTAAGTTTGCAAGAATTTAAATTTCAGTCCCTCAATCTATTTGTCTGTTCTTACAGATTGTTTTTTGTAGGCTGGCTATCAAATCACACAGCACAGACTTCCACTGGCACAAGAAGGAGAATTAGAGTTTCATGTTTTTATTCCTGATGTCCATCATAAGCCATATATTAAGAAATCTTGCATCAAGCAGCTTCAATTAGAACAGGACAGTGGCAAGTTACTTCATGATGAAGAGGCTTGTAGGTATGTGAATGACTTGACAGTTATAGAATCTGAAGTTTTCATGTATTAATAAGCTTAGAGGTGGGACTCATGGTACATATTGAAACAAATTAATCTTCTTTAACCAGGAGCCTGGTTGATTTGAGCCGTGCAGGAATACCTCTTATGGAGCTTGTATTTGAACCTGATCTTGAGGATGGAGAAGAGGCAGCAGCTTTGGTTAAAGAACTGATACTCATTCTGCAGTGTTTAGGTACATGTTCGTGTAAAATGGAAGGTACGCAGCATTTTCAGCAAGCTCAGCATGGAATATCAAGTAGTAGCATGGTTAGAAACAAGCAAACTGTCATAAGACAATGTATTGTTTAGAAATTCAGTTAGAAGTTGGAAAATAATAACCTTTCTTTTCACATACAAGTATAATGTCATAAGGAATGTGAAAGAGAACTATACAGAAAACAAAGTAAAAAATTATTATGTTCACATGTATTACACCTGGAGAATTTGCAGCTCATTGTTAACATTTTCTTCTAGAGGGTGCTTTAAGAGTGGATGCAAATGTCTCAGTTCATCGTGAAGGAGAACCACTAGGTGTGCGGAGTGAGGTGAAGAATATTGGAAGTATAAGGGCAGTAGCACATGCTGTCAAGTATGAAATTGACCGCCAAGTTAGGACACTTGAATCAGGAGGAGTTGTTGTTAATGAAACTCGTGCATGGGATACTGACAGTCGGCAGACTGTTCCTATGCGAGACAAGGAAGAGAAACAGGTTACAATTCTAATAACAGAATTACATTTAAGCATAAATAACAGTAATTTATTCTTTCCAGCTCATACATATCTTATGTGTACTGTATTTATGATTGTTTATATAAGATATTTGAAACATATTACAAAGAATGAGATCGTGAGTGTAATATAATGTTCTACAAGAACATGGAAGATGAATAAAACAACATATATGCACAAAGGAAAGCCCACACACCTTCAGCTGTAAGAAATATTATTGTATGGTTTGCGTAATTTTCAGATTGGCCCACAACAATTTCTTACCAGGATTTCTCTGTAGCAGTTTGTGATACCATATGTGCCCAACTGTTCCCCTTTCCCAGTGGAGAATTTTAAGGACCAATTATTTTATTACATACCAGATGAAGTCTTTAAGTACACTTCTCTGGCAAACAGTTTTTCACATCACCTCATAATGGCCTGTTTTAGGTCCATAGCCTACTTTTCTGGTAAACTTGCACATAGTCATTGTTCTTTGGCTTTCCTTCATCTCCTGACAGTGACCACAGAAATATTGTAACTTTTGATGTCTTTTCAACATACCTAATGACTGCTAATTTAAAATTGTCATTATGCAGTTTTCAAGAATGAGTCATAGCAAGAGTCTGTCTTATTTCTGTGTGGTCTCTCATGATCATGTCACATGATTTATTAACAGTTTATTTTCTAGACAAAATTACGGTAAACACTTCTATAAGAAATTAGAATTCTTTTAACAAAGAGCGCTAATTATGTATAAATGTTCAGCTCAGTATTAATACTTATTCACACCTTAAATTAATTCTTAATATCCAGAAAGGATAGACATGCATCCACAAACCAAGCAACATCTAGCAATTGTGTTGAGCAAAAATATTTCTGCTTCAAATACCATTCTCTTTTGTTGTTGGTAGTAAATATTTTGGACATACAGTCCTGCACGTGGTGGAATTTGTACTGTGATAAAATAACTTAAAAAATATAACCACCAGATGTAATTTAAGTGCTCCAGAAATATATAATTGGATAAATTGTGTATTGTTATATTAATTGTAATGAGATTTATTGATTACCATTTTGGAAATGTCACAGTTGCCATATGTCTAAATTACATGTAATCTCCATTTTTCTATATTTGAAAATGAAACTTTCTCTTTTGTTGTTGGTAATAAATATTTTGGACATACAGTCCTGCACGTGGTGGAATTTGTACTGTGATAAAATAACTTAAAAAATATAACCACCAGATGTAATTTAAGTGCTCCAGAAATATATAATTGGATAAATTGTGTATTGTTATATTAATTATAATGAGATTTATTGATTACCATTTTGGAAATATTTTGGATATGTCACAGTTGCCATATGTCTAAATTACATGTAATCTCCATTTTTCTATATTTGAAAATGAAACTTATCATGTAGTGTCATACATATTGTATGTATGTAGATAATTTAATTTGTCAGTTTTAACTACTGACCACATTTCAGATACATAATAACGCATTTGAATAAAACAGGACTACCGCTACATGCCAGAACCAAATCTTCCTCCATTACGAGTTCTGTTGAATGGCCAACATGCAATACCAGACATTAAGAAGGATTGTGTAAATGTTGATTGCTTGAGAAGAAAATTGCCAGAATTGCCTAGAGAAACCAGGGAGAAGCTAATAAACCAATATGGAATATCAGCAGAATCTGCAGTCATATTAGTTGTGAGTATAACTTAGTGTCAAATTACTGTCTTCTATAATGTAATGTTCTTATGTAAACTCTCAGAATTAAATTAATCTAGAAAGTTACAGTTTAAATAAACACTATAGGCTTTTACAGTTATCATCAGTTTGTTGTATGTCACATATGTTTTTTTTATTATATCATATCTTTAAATCACTGGCTGTTATTTAATTTGAAGAAATTCAGTCACAAAAGTGAAGACACCAGCTACTGTAGTATTAGTATCATATTCAGAAGCAACTGGCTGCAAGCTGATACATTAATTTGCATTGACCTTCATGTGAATTAGCATAACTGCCTTTTGTGTTGGCATGTGTGTTTGCCTTAATCCTCTGTAGGCTAATGTACATATCCCGTACAGGTTAGCATGTCAACCATTTAATACAGAACCTGGTACTGAATGAACTATGCAATGAAAACTATAATGCTATCTCATTGTAAAAGATGATCATGGACATGTAATGGTAAGTTAATAAAATTGTGCTTGCACATACTGTCTTTTTTCAGTAACCTTGTTAGCTTTTTCCGTTCCATACAGATGTTATGAGTGAAGTTGTAAATTACTTGTCAAAAATGATAAGAAAATTTATAGTAAACACATAGTCATAAGTTACTTTGGCAAAGGTTATAATAACACACATTTGCTTCTAATATAATAGCTGATGTCTATCATTATTCATAAATATTATCCTTTAAAGCCTAGTGACTGAGTGGACTAGACTGCAGGTACTTGGTTGATGCTATTTGTATATAACATGAGTTAGAACCTGAGGTACTGAACATTGGCTGTTACTTTCTCCCTCCTATTTACCTATTACAATTTCATTTGGTGCATTGTGTGATGACTTGTAATGGTAATAACCTCAGAGTATTTGGTTCAAACATTTCCAAATATTTGATTATTATATTTTATATTCCAGAATGAAAACAATTTGTTGAAACATTTTTATGGTATAATGGGGGAAAAGAAGAGTCGTGACCCAAAACTGTCAACAAATATTCTAATCATGGAACTCCTTACTATATTAAATAAGAATAAGTTATCACTGGAAACTAGGTAAGATTTTAAAAGTACACTGTATGTAATTTAGTGATTTGTTCACTAAATATTCCTTGAAGAAATACAAGATTCAGCACTACCTCACTTTTAGTGTATTGTGGAGGAAAATATTTTAGGTATAAGTTTCATAAAGCCTCTTTACTTTCAGAACCTTATAATAGAGTTATGTGATATTTAAACACAGGCTCTTTTTTGCAGGATTCATGTACATACTATTAAATAGGAACATTAAGATGTAGAAAGTTTCTAAACCAAGTACATGGTGTATTTAAAGTTGGATTTCTTCATATGTTGATTTTATGTGCATATTTTATTTTACACACATGCCACATAAATCTTTGTAATAAACATTCTTTGCTGGTTGTCTTTTAGTCTGTGAAGTAGGATGGCCATTGTTATTGTTAACTCTGATGTCTGACTTTGTAACTCTGTTCTGGTCTTTATGAAGTTTGTTCTTAAGCACTGGAATTTGACATACCGTATCGAACTACAGCTCTCTGAATAATTTTTGCAGTCCATTTTCATCTTATTCCCTAGGAGAAGTAGTGGATCTTCTACAGAGTAAGAAAGTAAATCTGGTTACTGCACGGAAGTTACTTCAGGAAATTGTTTCTGGCAATCCTCAGTCTCCATCAGAGGTAGGAACACAAAGAATTGTTAATTTATAGCGCTGTTTTTGTTATAAGACTTGAATGTTAACATTGTACACACAAGTTTGTAGACTATTTTAATGGACGTGGAAATTTCACTTATAGAATGTTCAATGTGGAATGGAAGACATGAGCTAACACAAATTAACAAATAAACTCCACCAGAAAGCAAAATAGAAGAGTGGATTTAATTATCAGTCTTATTTTGTTGGGACTGCACTCTTCTGCCAAAATCATAATTAAAAAAGCCGCATTAGTGCTATTTTAAAACTTAAACACTGTATATTTAACCTCAATGCCTATTTTACTCATTACTGAACATTTAAACATTCCTCAGCTTTCCTTTGCCAATCAGATAATATGAGTAATTCATACAAGATTGTCGCTCTTCAATTTTATTACCATTATTTACACAAATGCCCTTAATATTAGTGATTCAGGCTCATAATGTATCATTAGCATTGGTGGTAGACAGTACTCATATACATGAATAATGATAACCATTCTGTCAAGTTCAGGTTGGAAAAGTATACTTGGAGAAAGAAATAACTTGATGCTTCACTATCATGTTACCAGTTGATAAGCAGTCCATAATCAGACACCTTTTTGTGGCCTCGAGTGGAAAAATGCAAGGGTGCTGTAAGACTACTTATTCCTCCTCTTGAATGCCACAAAATTTCTGCATTTCAGATTTTTTAACAAAACTTTTTTATTCATTTCTCATCTCTCCTGTGCATGCTACAGCCCTACCCAACCCATTCTTCTTAAGGATACTGATGAGAACTGAAATATTCATTACACCAGAAGTGTCTAATACATCCATGACAATAGAATGTACAGTGCACGTTCTTGGGACACCATGCCTTCATTTAGCTGTTTGGAGACTTGGTTCATTATGAGTCATTGTAACACTTGAATATGAAAATACTTGTCTGAAATATGTTCTACCACAGGTTTATCAAACACATCAGATAGGTACTTAAGATATATGGAAAGAACAAAAATATGATAAAGTAATTCCAGAAATAAATAAAAACATAAAAATGGACCACTACAGGTTTGTGCTGTTACTTTATTCGTCACATAATAGAAATTTTCAGGGCATGTCACTGAATAGGACCTGTAAATTTTGTTTCTGAAACACATAATGGACTTCAGGAAAATACTTTTAAGAAGTATTGTACCTAACACTACAGTTCCATATATGCTTGGTATTGCACTGAATTCATCATGGGAGTGTGTTGGGTGTACCAAAAACAGAGTAATATTTAATTCCTTAATTTTAATAACTGTAGCAATACTAGACCAAATAATTATAATAACGTTGCTATGCTAGTAGGTGAAACAATCAGTTCCCCTGACTTTTCACTGCTTCAGAAGGCTGTGGAGCTCTTAATAAGGAATAATACTTTGTCCTTTATATGTGATTGCAGATGGTGGAAAAGTATGGATGGGCTCAAATCACTGATTCAAGTGAAATTGAGGATGTTTGTACAGCGGTGATAGAACAAAATCCAAGGCTGGTGGAACAGTTTTGTGCTGGAAAAACTAAAGTATTTAATTCTCTTGTTGGAAAAGTTGCCAAGATAACAGAGAACAGGGCAAACATGGCACTTGTAGTTAAAGTTCTGAGAGACAAATTAAGCAAAATACAGAATTCTTAAAATGTAACTTCTGAATCATGTTCAAAATAAAGGTGTTTTACAACATGAATATTTGAAACTTCCTAATCCCTTAAACATTATGTGGGGGCATGCACATGTTCATGTACAAGTAAGGTTCAATAGAAACTTATACATCTGGTGGCCAGTGATGAAACTTTGTCACACCAGTGAACCAAAATAAAACACATTCAGTTTGCAACAGAAATAAATACCTGCAATGTCCCATGAAAAAGCAAGAAGTTCTGGGGAAAACCTGTGATTCCTATTTTAAATCTGTGAAAACCTCATATCTCACAAAGTAAACTTGTGTAAACTGGAGCTGTAGTTTCTCAGCTTACTCCAAAGTGATGTTTCTGGTACCTGCTATTAGTTTTGAATCAACATGCCATTTATCATACAGTTTTGGTTACCTTCTCAAAATACCATTGTAATATTGAACATCAGCAGGGTCTGATCACATAAATGAATCAGTTATGCAGATGTGTCTTGCTATACATGAGTTCAGGTATTGAATGGAGTCTAGATTAAATTATATTGAATATACCTTCTTTTAAAAGTGAAAGTAATTTATTTTGAATGCATTCATTATTGTTAAGAGGCTGGGTATATATGCTGGAAATATTTACTTCAGACATATAATACTATATCTGGAGCAATGTGTAAAGTCATTTTGTTTATCACCACATAATGTCTAGTCAACCAGGCATTCAAAATTATTTTTGAAAATGCAGATGATACATTCCTCTGAAACCTACGTACACAGCCCAGAAGACCATAAATCACAGTTTTATCATAGAAACCTCAAATTTCATGTGCTTCAAAGATCACTGTTGTGACTCATAGACATTACAAGGTTCTAGTGATTTTACTTTGGTTGTTACTCTTGTGATATACACATGAGTGTTAGCAATGAAGTTAAAATGGCAGAAGCTCATGGGAGTTGCCAATGAGCGCTATAACAAAATAGTGCTAAATGGGGCAGCGTTAACCGGGGTATTACTGTATACAGAAAATACAACAAAATATCTTATTCAGTTAATTTACAATTTATTTAAAATAGATAGCAACAAAAATATTAACATAAAAATGGAATGAAACTGTTCACATAATATGTTCATAGTAAAGCAAATTTGACTGAAGACATTCATTACATTGAAAAGAAATATAATTACATGCCTAATATTATTCTATATGCACAAATAAATCTGTAAACATACAATGATTGCAGTACACTGGTTTTTGCAGAACAAGTCTTGCCATTGCAACAGAATGAATTGATGTTTCACCAATTCCTTTAAAGAACATGATGAAAACCAAAATATCTTCAGTTCAGGAAATTAAATAATGTACATTAAAAAACAAAATTATTTCTATATTGTTTTCTAGTGGAGTAGAATCAGCAGGACATTATATTATTCAGCTGGAACAGAAACTCTGGATAAGAAATAACTTTCAGCAGTTCCCATTATTTTTATTCTTAATACAGAAGATTCAGCAGTTATCACCAAGTATGAAAGCAATAGTTTCAAAATTATTGTATTTGACAAGTGTAACCAGACATCCTACATTTATTGAGATTCTGCCTTTACCCCTTTTTAAATGTCATATTCTGACAAACAATAGACATCAGTTGTCCCATAAGTAATGATTTATTTTTTCTGAATGAAACACTTATTATGATAGGAAATGTTATCAGAAATCTAGTCAATTAAATCATGAGAGTTCTGAATTCAAAAATATTCTTTCATTGCAAAGTACTACTGCATCACAACCATTTTAAGCCAGTCAGTCTAATATTACTATTACATGATTGAAAAGTATATGTGAAATAACAAAAATGGGTTTCTTTAATGTTATTATGAAATGCATACAATGAAACTAAAACAAATAACAACTTGCACATAGTTTAATAAGTGAGTGGCATTTTATTATTTTCAAAATCCGGTCAAACTAACTCAGTACAAGCTGAAAACAATGTTCAAAAAGCAATATTTTGTGGTCTTCCATTTTCATGACATATTAAACTTCATACCCCACATACTACCTACCCTCTACACCAAATTATAATTGCTATGTTGAAATCCTTTTTCACAGCCACTGACAGAATGATGGTGATTGTCACCTTTGAGACACAGACAAACTATGGATACATGACAGAAGTTATGATACTAGTGAATCATAAGAATATATGAAGAGCAATACATTATACAAGAACAATGCAGTATACTGTAGTCCTGTGACTAGTTTGCTGTAACTCCCCACCTCATTGCAGACCTACCTGTATACTGCCTTTGCAATCCATTTTGAATGAATCAAAGATCATAATGATTATTATTATTATTATATTAATTTCTGTTTACTGATTTATTATAATAAGTTTAAAACAAATGAAAATATTAATAACAAGTTCTAATGACCTGCTAGGAGTATATCCAAATTGTTATATTACTACTATTGCAAAATACAGTGAAATGTCCCAGGTCACCTACTATAGATACAAACAATAAGTAGAAAATAAAAAAAAATACACTTAAATTTTTTTATTAAAAAAGTCTGCAATACTTTACCTCCACTTGTACTTCATGTGAATTAAAGCAGTACTGTCTCTATCCAGATAATTTGAGTATCTTTTCATACTTACCACTTGAAATATCAAGGGTCATATGCAATTCATGTTTTGAGAAGATATCTTACTAGAATAAACATGTTATATCATCAGCAGTACTATGCATTCAGTGTATTTAAACTTTTAATGCAGTTCCACTAGCAGTAATACAAAACAGAAATGAGGCTGATGCTATGGACTACCATAGCCAGTTTATGTATAATAGTATAGTAAGTCACGGTAAGCACTTAATTACATCATAACATATTCAGTCAAAGATAATCAGAATAAGGAAGGCAAATGCAGTCATACTGATGAATGTGCATGGTCAGTGTTGTCATAAACACTAAATAATTTTGAATATGTAGCAGATTCCATACCAGTATTGAAAAAAAATGGTCTTCAAAGGGATGCAAATAATTTATGATAATAAATGTGGAAACAAATATTACCACAGCATGTATACTAGAAATTATTCTCTGTTGAGTTTTACAACTTTTCAAATTATTAAGCTTCTTAACTGAGTAATCAAACAATCATAACGTTATTGACGTCTAAGCTGACCTAACACTGATAATTTTAACATTGCATGCAAGATAATGTCTTCCTACATGCAAGCTGTAACTGCTACATGTTTAATATTACTCTTCAGATTTTAATTAAAATATGACCAGTGAAAATGGAAGATATGTATTCCATTTGTGTACTAGTCTTAAACAAGCAACTGTTGTTACTAATTAATGAATTTAAGGACTTGTAATTCTTGCATAACTGCTATTAATATTCCAATATTTGTATGGATGAAATCATATCTCCTGATGTGCTGTAAATTACAAACCTAAAACGGTTAATTTTACAAAAAAGACTGTCATAATTCTTGCAGTCAAAAAAATTAAGTGAATTTTATACATGAAAATAAATGTGAAATCAGAATTATAATATACTATATTGAAAATGAAACTCAAAAACAATTTGTTTAGGTTTTAATTTTACATACAGGCCAAATTTCACTTGCTTTCCTGACTGTGCACGTAATGGATAGTAATAGACGGAAGTACAAAAATTTAGAAAAAAAAATTGTGTCTGAATTCTTTATTTATGTACCATTCATCCACAGGAAAATGCATATTGTGTGGAGAATGATTCCATCATGATCAGATTAGAAAAAATGTCTCTAGTAGTTATGGCAGCTAAATGTGATTGTTGCATAGAGAATCTAATGGTGATGTATTCATTTTGAGAATTATGTAATATCACAATCTATTCTGTGGAACTGCCACAGACCTGCCTGAAGACAATGCAAATAGGGAGCAGATGCAAAATAGAGAACATTCAGATTAATCAGTCACAACCAAGATGTGCCTCCTGAATGCCAGTCAGATATGACAATGCAGAACAAACCTATTCAATATTTTAGCCAAATAATACTGTCAGTATCTTCCTGACTGAAGTTGTCCACAGTTGTAAAAATTCCTGTCAGCAATGTGAAGCCATTATGTCCATGATATTGCATGATGTCACCTTGCAGAATATTAAAAATTCATAATTAAGCAAAGCACAAAATAAGAATGAAATACAGACTAGCAAAACAAGTGAAAGTGATTGTTAGGTGGAAGAAATATTCCTATTTTACCATCAATATTAAAGGGACCTAATGTTGCTGAATACTGATACTGATTTTTCTAAGTCTCAGCATCCACATGTTCACACAAGCTGATATCAAATCCAACGTTCCAGAGTTGAGTTAATATCAAATGCAGACTTGCAAAGCTTCAAAAAAGCAGTGTACATATACCACAATGATCTGAAAATTATATGCTGATTCAGTGACGAACAAAATATTGGTCATGGGCCCATTTGTAAATTAAAAGTTAGCTGTGGGCATGTTTATGAACTAAGCATTTGCCATGAAAGTGCATTATAGCTAATACTTCATATAAGATGTGAAAGAATGCACACATTTCTGTCATTTATGTGTTACTGCTTGGCAGTGCTACTAAATGCTAGCAATCAACGTCTCAATTATAAATTTGGCAATATGAACCATTTATGTTTTGGCTGGTAAGTCAGGAGTTATTTCCTTCCTCAATCTCTAACTTACAGTTTATAAAAATTTTCAGTTAATAACTGCACTGAATCGAAACAGTCTACGAGAAATCACCTGTACCTGGATTTTCATTTTAATTCATCTTACAATTTTGGACTCATACTGTTTTTACATTATGGGAAATTAAATTAGTGACCTTGAATACAAAAGATCTACAAGCATAACAACACCAAACATTTTCTTTTCTAAGTTTGTATAGTATAGAGCTACTGCTTCTCCAACAACCAATTAATTCTTTCTGTAACTTTCAACTCCAAGTAAATGTAGCACACACAAAATAATTTAAAATGATTTTCTTACCTTAAAATGCTGCAATTGCAAACACATACATATATAAAAAATAAATGGAACATTCAACATGGCAGCAATACATTAGGTGACAACTACCATCAGGACTGTATTATTACACAAACATGTTTTACTCAAACATTACAATATTCCTCCATTTTATGTTCAAACAGTGGAAGTGTGCATTCACAATCTTAACAACTATGCAAAGAAATACATTAAAGATCATCTGCATTCCAATTACAAAGAGAAAGAAAATTGTATTTTCTTTTTATAATGTAATATAGAACTCAGTGGTCATGGTAACTATGGACAAAACAGAAGGAATGTGAGATATTTACTCTAATCCTACTCCATTTTATACATTACAGAACTTGTGACTTCACTCTCTAAGCTTTGCATTGCTTACAGTAGAAACTTGTTTGTCCATTACAACTCACATATGCCCAACAGTATTTGAGGTTCTCATGGTGATGAATATAAAGATGAAGATTTCTGTCTTCTGGGTTGTTGCGCTGTGTAGTCTGGTCGATGTTTACCAACGTTTCAGAGGTCATACTGAAACGTTGGTAAACATCGACCAGACTACACAGCGCAACAACCCAGAACACAGAAATCTTCATACTCACCGCTGTAAAAACCTCAAATCTTACAGAGTATAAAGATGACTGTCTTTTGTCAGCTCATGTTATAGACAGCAGCATATTAAATGTATTAAGATACTTAACACATCCTCCCACCCCCCAAATCAATACATCTATTACTTATAGACAGCAGAAAAATGGGGAGAAAAAACTACTGTCATAAAATTCTTCTGTCGAAATATAGTATTTTCATCATGCAATTCTGGATGCAGTGTCCTGAGATAGGGGATTTTCAGGTAATATGAAAAAAAAGCATTTCATTCCCTCACTATGAGTAAACTGTAGCTGTAAGCTGGTTTATGATCCTATCCAGATGTTTATGGATGTTAGCCGTCTACGAGCTGACATCTTGTAAGTCACTCAATCCATTGGAGATTCACCAGCCACAGTGTTTTTATAAAATGAAGAGAACCAATATTTGTGCATTTATACTGATCTATGTTGCAAGCAAGAGTGTTCTTAATTACACTGAATGATCAATTATCAAACAAAGCATGGGAATATTATGCACACTAAGAACTACTGTGCTTGTTCACATTAGAAAAGATTTACAGGTGCAGTAAGTCTAAAACATTCAGTTACAAAAGTTGGAGTAAGGAAATTATAACTTCTAGCGCTGCTCTTTCAAATTCTTTTAGACCTAACCTAAAGTAGAACAGCAAACAATTAAAAAAATAATGTTGACAATAACACTTAGTGCACCAATAAAAATAAAATAATAACTTATTTTCAGAAGTCCTGATACTGCATACGAAAGGGCTAAAAGCACAATTCAACATATTTATAGCATTAGTTTAGTTCAACAATACATCAATACTGAATACTATAATCTGAATAGAATTCCAAAAAATGCAGCAAATTAAAGCAAAGCATGAGAATACACAGCTTATCTGTAGACCTAATGGAGAAACAATGCTACCTGTACTGTAACAAAATATCCAGATTATCCATCTTTCTCATGACTAATTTCTGGAACAGTTAATCAAGTTTCTACTGTATTTGTAAACTGATTTAATATATTTCAGTGTAGCCTCAATGACATTAAATTATTCCAGTCACAATAACACATCAACACTTCAAGATATGTTATTTTACCAATGAAAGAAAAAATAGCAACTTTGTAAATGGCTGCAGAATATGTTTCAATTATGTACAAATCAAGTCATTAAATGTGTTATAATTTTCTGTATAATGATTAATTACAAATACATAAATTTGTGAAGTAATAGTTCATAACCTTTTCCCCTAGCAATTCTTTGGCATTAATAATCTGCTATACAACTAGACTTTTTAATAATTCATTATACAAAATTCCTTGCTAAAATATCCATGCCATATTTTTCCAACATGAATTTCACCCTGTACATCACACTTTTGCTGCAACCAGCAAGAAACATTAGTCCCTGCCATCATTCACTCAATAATTATCTTGAGGTAAGACTCTCTTTTGGTATATAAATTAAAAATTTAGTTGACTGCAGTCACTTTGTTATTATAGTATTAGTACAAAGTGACTTTTAGATCTTCAGTTAATCAACTGTTATTACCAGTAATGATTCAAAATACCAGCACAGAAACACAGGAAGAGAGTTAGACATACCTTCATCAACCAGTTAAATGATAAAGATCTGGTCCTGATGTGTTAAAACAAAGTCAGTGAACATATTAATAGGGCCAATGGCAGATAATGAAAGTTGACCAGTTTGTGCCCATACCAGATTAGGACCAAATACAACAGCAAGGTTGGATGAAGTCATTTTGTTCAAATCACTTCGGTCCATTACCTAAAACAGAAGAGAAAGAGATAATTTTTCTTATACCTCCAGAACACTTCCTTCAACAAATACTCTCAATTTCTCTTCATTTCCTGTCTGAGGAAACAACATGGACAGAACAGTTCTTTCTAAATCGGATCCAGATATGAGCAACCTCAACAAGGCAGTAATATTTAAGGTTAATATAGGACACCTATAATAACCATGGATATAGCAGAAGGGCTGTTAAATTCAACATGCCAATGCATGATTTGTGAAAAGTACTGGTGAACTATATTATTCTTCATCCATTGAAGAATTAATCTGATATAAGAACAGGGGCTGTCTTAAAGACAGCATAATTTATGACAAGCTTACTACTTCAGGAGATCCCTGCAATGGTACGCAGCTAAAATATTAGCTGAAGAAATAACTACTGCAGATCAAGTTTCTATGTAACTAAGTTTATGTAAAGTAAGGTGAAGGATATTAAATTGCAGATTATTTGTGGCCCTTATGTAACAAATGTTTCTATAAGAAAACAGATTGAAAAATTATATTAATCAATGAACAGTTCAGCCTTAATTTACTAAAAATTATAATTGAATGGCAGTTATGATATAAACATATTACATCTTGCTTGGGTATATGTTTGTTATACAGAACATGTTAGTATGCTTATTCTTAAATTAAAGTCCCAAAAATATTAAAAAACTATAAAAATCAGGCCATGCCATCCCAAACAGATTGTATTTTATACTATCTGGTAACCGACTGTAAAGCCCATGCCCTATTTTAAGATTTGTTTTAACACTACCCTCCTCTCCATGCCTATGTGTAAGCTCTCTTTTTCCTTCAGGTGTGCTACATGCCCCACTCATCTCATCCTCCTTTGTATTTATATTAATTAATTAATTAATAATAAGAATGATTAAGAGTACACTTTATACGACTTGCCTATTTAACACTACATACAGTACTTGAATCACATACTAACCTTTGAAAGAAACTGTACAATATATTTCAAAATCTGGTAATTATCTTCTGGAAGCTTTTCTAATATTAATATCTTAACTTGACGTGGTCGCTCTTCTTTTGACATACCTGAAAAGGTTTATAAAAATTTCAGACTCAAGATCAGTATAAGAATGCACATACAGTAAACACAATGAGTACAAATCATGAGATTTTAATTCAGTTGCCAGTAAAAAGAATCACAGAAGCATCTATTTCCAAAATGTCAATATTTTATAAAATCTACTTCATCTGTTGGTGGTGTTTTGATCTTAATCTGTAATTGGCATGAAAACAAAGCTTTGGAGCAATGATAATATATTCCTTAATGAGCCATTGCAGTCAGCAGTCACAAAAGTAAATAACTTTTCAGCTTCCTATACCAATAGTACCATATATAAAATAACGCATTATAGATGCATAATATTTACAGAAGGCAAGCAAGTTATTAGGTGAGGAACATATTTTACTGCTAACAAGTTGGTCCTAAATCTAGATAAAACAACTATAATAAAATTTATAACAAATAATTGACCACAATACACCTAAGTATTAATTATAATGGAAAAGTACAGTAGATTCCAGTTAATTGGGCCATTGGTAAATCGGGGCAGCCATTTATTTCAGACAAATCTTAAAGAACAAATCTTTTTAACTCTTTACGCGGAACTTCGTATAATTGGGCACCAGCTTAATTGGGACAAAGTGTTCTAGTCCCGATGTGTCCCAATTAACTGGAATCCACTGTATATAGAAGGGTAAGTTAATACAAAATTCTTGCGAGTGCAAATTAATAACCACCTAAATTGGACAAATCATCGATAAATTGTTTCCTATGTAAAGTGGAGCATGTCACACTTAGATCTACATTGGATGTCAACAACGATGACATGCTTAAATCAATTTATTTTTGCTTCTTTCACTCTATAATGAAATATGGAATAATTTGTTGGTATAATTCATCTAACAGAAAAACAATATTCACTTCAGAAAAGAAAACTGTCAGATTAGTGGCCGGTGTCACACTTAGAAATTCATGTAGAAGTCCAAGAGATTAGAAATCTTAGCTCTTACATGTGAATACATATTTTCATTAATAAACTTCATAGTGTCACCACAAGGAATAAGTATCAGCTTCATGGGCAAATTACTACTCTCATGTTTTCAGAAGATGGCATCAAATTTTCAACAGTCTACCATCTAGTCTCAAGTCTTATAAATAAAAAGGCACAATTTAAAGTAGCATTAAAAAGATACTTAACTACACAATCCTTATATTCTGTTAAATTTCTAATGTTTACAAATAACTCATAACATTCATCACGGTTTCTTGTCTTTATACACTATACATTTTTCTGTTGTATGTAAAGGGTGGATTTACTTGTAATATATCACTACTTCATGTAAAACTTGCTTATTCTAAGCTAAATCTTTATAATAAGTTGAACTGTACCTGATAAATATCTACTGTATTATTATGACTTATTCCACATCTTACTGTCATGTTACTTACTTATGGATCCATGGAATATGATAAATATGTACAGTCCCTACAGGCAAATAGAGATAAATTCCTTTCATGTCCTTTCTAATCCATTATTCACATTTGACACTACGCAGCAGGTGCTACTGACAGCATCAAATTCACCACAAATAAATAAATACACCTTTAATGTTTGGACATGATGAAATAACATACATATGACTTACTTTGAAATTGTGTTATTTCATCATAAAGGTCAAAGGTCATAAGTGGTTCCTCTAGCTCACGTAAGAACGTCTTCAGAAGAACAGCTGCAAGATGAACATCACCATGAAAGTCCACTGTTTGACCCTGATTATATTTTGACTGCAGGTCTTTCACAAGCTGGACACTAGCTGATCTCCGAAACAAGCCCTCTGTTTCCAGAGCTGGAGCAAGAAAAAAATTGATCTAACTTGCAAGTTCAGAATTTCTATATGAGTGAGACTTATACATGGAACAAATATGCAGATTAAATAAAAGAATATTAACTGCATTTTGAGTAGGATAATCACCTCAAAAAAAAACTACTCTCATATTTAAGCTGCTGAATATGAATTTATAAATGCCTCCATTATAAAATGTGTTTAACATCATAATACACTGATATTATTTTACAGATACATATGATAACCCTAATAACAAACCTCTAATGGTCTATGTTTAATCATACTGAGAAAAAGTCAAAGCAGCAATTCAAAATTTCTATATCACACCAAACAGAAGAATAAGGGCCATGTGAAACTTCATACTGATCTGATATGTATTTACTATGAACCATCGGTAACCAATTAATTAATTAACTGACTGACTGACTGACTAACACCATGGTAATACAATTCAAAGGTTCAACATAACTAATATCAAAGCCTGCCATTAGACATGATCTTGAGACAGTTCCAGCCACTTCTAATCCAAACAACCTATCTTCTTTTGAGATCCATCTTAATATTAACCTCTTCCTCAGTCTTTCAAGTGGCCATTTTCCAACAGACTTCCCATCAAACATCTGCATGCATTCCCTGATTTAGCCACATTATTTGGTTTACTATATACTTCTTAACAGTCTGAAAATCGTAGGAACTGCAGTTATAACAGATTAACTGTGACATGCATTCATGTGGAGCTGAAACATGTATGCATATACTAAAAAAGTGCAGTGACAAAGCACTCACAAAAAAATTATTGGTGAGCACTATGGAAAATACTGCCTTTCAAACTGAAAGAAAAGGGTCTAGAATATGAGTTATGCACGTGTGTGTGCCCGCGCACACGCGCACGCACACACACACTTACTCACTCACCATCTGGCTGACTCAGAAATTCCACACACTGTCTTACTACTGGTGGAATCACTTCCCCATTATTGTTATCTTTAATAAACTGAAGTGATACACCAAACTGCTGTGTTTGTAGAGGAGTGTGAAATTTGGCATTTTGTTGAGGTGCTGATGGTGGTTGTACCACTCGGCTGTTTTTCTGTAACAGTCGCTCGTCATGCCTGCAAAACATATATTAAGAAAACTCACTGATATAAATATAATATAATAAAGAAAAAAGAAGCAGGATCACATTTCTGTTCTTAACCATTTGAATCAACTGACTTGCACAAACATCAATACCAGAATATATCAGCTTTTGATTCTTTTCCATAATACAAAGTATTTCTGCTTAACCAGCATAAACAGGACCATGTTATATTTATTTATTTCCGTGTCTGGCAACGCCCAATGGACATTCCGGTGTTAGTGAGAGTAGTAACTCTACACAATTTATACTCAAACAGAAGTGTAAGAATGTCCAAAATTTTTTTACAGGCCCACCTGCAAAAGTTCTGTCGATGTTAATTCACAGAATGAGGTAAGTTCAACAAATTTATGGAAACTGTCCTGACTTACTGACTCAATGAGGGCTTTGTAAGTTCAGAGAACAAATGTAAGATTCTTTCATGGTTTTACTCAGTCATTCAATGCAAATACTAATATCATACCTTAAAATGCACCATGACCTCCTTCATTCAACATCCTTCCTTATTCATTACTCATAACTATTATCCCATTCAACAAGCAGCTTGTCAAACACAGCACAATAAAACATACTCACTCCAGAACAGGCTGTGGTATGCTGATCTGATCTAAGTGAAGATGTTGTTTCAATTCATGAAGATAATTGACATACATAACCTTTCGACCAAATTTTGCGCTGAAAAAAATAATAAAGATAAAATCTACTCTAAGGCATGCCCTATGAACACCAACACACAAATGTATCAATGACTAAATTATATTGTAAATCCTTTCCAGTCTATATTGTACCTAAAATACATGAAGAGTAAATATTTCTGAAATATACATACAAATATATCACAAATATGGACTAATGCTGATACAAACTCTTCAGTCACAGAGAACTACACAAGAACTTGGAGAAATTCATGTGTTTCTTACTAATTAAAGAGGTCTACTTTTTGTACACTGAGTGAAAATAAAAAAATCAATATTAAAATATTATAAGTCTTTAGTTTGATAATAACACACCTGATGGCTGCTCTGAAGATTTGCCATATCACTCTTATAAAATTGGTTGGATGGACTAGATACAATGCTTTAAGATTCTTCTTGTACTTGCGATCAAATGCTCGGTATGCTTGCCATAGCCAGGATAATGGAGGCTTGTTCTTGCTTGTCAGGCCATAATGAAAGTATACAAGGCTGTAGTCTTCCTCAACAAACTTATCCAATGTATACATCAAGTACCTACAACATACAACATACTGGCATCTTTACATCATAAAACGAAGGTGGGAACCAATACTTCTCAATACGTAATTTTCAAATGCATTTTGTGTTTTAGCATTCTTTGTTGTTCTGGAATTAATTTCCTGGAAGATGTAAGGCTATCTATAACTTGCAGACCCTATAAACAGTAAGGTTTCTACTCCACAACAGAATCACCTCAACTAGTTTTACATGTCTATGAAATTAATGAGAATATGGTACAATACTTCTCTCCCAATTGAACCATAAACATTCCTGATGCACAGATGAAGTATTGTGCCACTATATTCCATGATCTTCTCCAATATCTGATGAAGGCAGAATATCTGTTCAGTAACTGATCTATGTCAATATCCAGACTGATAATCCCCAATAGTGTTAAATATACACTTTATAAAAATGCATAAATAAATCCAAATAACAGATCTTAAAGATATATATTTAATTCAACCTGTCCATTTTTTGTATGATGGGCTGTTTCTGGGAAATCTGACAGTGTATGATTTAAATCTCATGTTAAGTACAAGACTCATGTAAGTTTTTCAAAGAACAGATACTTCACTTTCAAATGAGACAGTGATTTCTTTTTCCATGGCAGACCATTTTTATAAAACCTCACATAAGTCATGCATCCAGAGCTTTGGTTATGAAATGTTGGAACAAAAAGAAAACCATAAAAATGTGATGAATCACAGCATATAAACTAACCCTTTATTGTTTTATTAAAAATATATAAACTATTTACCTTAATAAAAGTGCATGATCCAATTCTTTGTTCCCAGGCAGCTTACAAGCTGAAACAACAATCACTTTACGACCATATGTGTCATCTCCCACAACTTCCACAATTCCATATTTGGCAACTTCTGAGAAATCTTCCTCTGTTTCATCATCCATAAAAGCGTAAGATAGACTATCAACCCCTGTGGCAATTACCGGAGCATTAACCAACTCCTCCTCAAAGTTCTCTTCAATTGTGCCATCTGATACAGGAGACTCAAGGTAATCCAGACCACTAGCTTCAATTTTCTCTTCCATATCTACAAGAAATTAAATATGAAAGTATTCTGGCCACCCAGTGAGTCCATTAGTTCCTTTAACAATGCATTTACTTTATTTTATATAACAGAAAAGCTGGTAAGTGTATATACAAAATAAAAAACTAGGTTAACTAGAATTGTTTTATTTCTAAACAGCTACAAATAATAATGTTATTATCATTTTTGTGCAGAAAACACACTAAAAATGTTTTGCATCAATCTCACCAATTGACCTTGACAACCATTTTACTGCTAAAAAATTACTCAAACATTATTAGTCTCAACAAATCAATCTAAAATAACGGCTTAACAAAGGCAAAACATTAAGGACCCTTATGAGAAGAAGGCAGAAAATTCAGACTGAATAAAAGCATCCTCAAAAATCTTCTGTAACTTTGTTACTACGAGGCGCGTCCACAAAGTAAGTTTCCCACTCGTCCCACAGCTAGCAAACCTTATATTGCGCGAAGCGACTGTGCGTACGTGATAGAGCAATGACGTAGCATGGCGCATGCACTAACGGAACTTCCCGCGTTCTCACA